CCTCTGCTCTGTCCAGCTCGTATGGGGATGGCAGCACAAGAGGCTGACAGGGATGGAGAGAACATTTTGTGGCTCATCAGCCTGAAAGACTCTTCTGTTGACTTCCCCTACACCTTGGCAAGAATATCACATGCCTTAAGCAGGTGGTCACAAGAATTTGATCTCCCATAGTTGGTTAATTATTAGGACTGTAATAGTGAAGTTTTGCTTCCCCAAAAAAGAAGAAGTCGGAGTCCATACCCTACCCAACCAAAAAATAAAGGACACGTTTCTCCCCCTTCTTCTTCATTGTGATGAAGGAATTAGGAAAGACATTTCAAAGCCCAGCACAAAAGCCATTGCAAACCCTTGAATGGTTTATATTTCCTCTGGCCAGGTTATGCATCAGGAAAGGGAGTTGGGTCAGAAGAACTGTTTCATTCTTTAAAACCAATTTTGGCTTGTCACCCCCTTTTTAGGCCTTTTTAATTTCATTTCTCACAGATTCCCGAAGAGCTTAGTGGTGGAGCAGGGACAAATGAACCATTTGTGCTACTTCTCTCTGTAGCTGAAGAGTCTTGCTAGAGAAGTTCTTTCTCCCCAACCTAATCTCCCAGTCCTCAACACCCATATTCCACACATCCCAGTTTGGAAATATTTTGGTGGCCTTTTTCTCAGCCCTTTTCTTGCAAGGTTTAAGATCTTCTGAATTGCTCAGTGCAACTGTAACTCCTACCCCTCTTCAGGAAAAAAAAAGTTCTTTCGTAGTCAAGATAACTTTATTCATTCTCCACTTCCTCCCACTCCCCAAAACAGATTATTTCTTTCATTTATTAAAATTTCCTGGGATTCCCATTGTTTTGGGAACAGCTCTTTCCTCTCCACTGGTGCAAGTCAAGGTACATAGGAGCCAAGCTGATAAATGTATTTTGGTGCGTGAGTGAGAAATCCCCAGCGGTGCTTCTCTGCATTCCTGGCAGCCAAATTTCAGGAGCAACTAACAGTTTGGTGCCGTTTCACAGCAGTCAGAACCTGCTGCTTATAGTGACTTCTTCTTCCTGCTTATGGGGAAGGCTTCCCCATTTTATCAAGCCTAACAGTCTGTCAACATGTTCATTTTTAAAATAATATTTGAATTTGTGCTAGAATACCTGTGGAACTATGTTTTTATTTTATTATTTATTTATTTATTTATTTATTATTGAGAAGAAAAAAACACACATAGAAAGTGCTCTAACAAAAAAGTGAAAGAAACACACACAAAAAGTGAATAAGTCATTACAACAGTGAACAATTACAACTCTATATCCAGTGGTACCTCGGGTCACGAACTTAATTCGTTCCGTGACTGTGGTCGCGACCCGAATTGGTCGCGTCCCGAATCAAATTTCCCCATAAGGTTCAATGTAATTACGGTTA